CCTCGTCTGGTTTTGTCTAACGCTCATTCTGGCTCTCTTCATTCCTGATATCGGAAGAGTCATTTCACTCATTGGTGGTTTGGCTGCGTGCTTCATTTTTGTCTTTCCAGGTATTTCATTTCAAATTACCTCAGACTTTTGTCTGCTTTTTTCAGTATAGTAACCAAACAGTGACCATGTTCATTTGTTGGTGTTTGTCTGTAGGATTGTGCTTGATTCAGGCAAAGCTTTCAGAACATGATGTCAGATCTAACAGGTAAACCCATCTATAACTTTTTGAAGTATCCATTTTCCTAAATTTAGTTCATTCTCTAAAAAAAAAAAAAAAAAAAAAAAAACTTAAAATTTCTTCCCCTTTATTGAAAGTCCATAAGTGGGCTGCACGATAATAAACATCGGACATTGTGATATTTTTTTCTTTGAGATATATTGCGATATGAATACAATTTCACCAGATTACTTGAATAGTTCTATTCAGAAAGAAATCCTTAATATATATATATATATATATATATATATATATATAGAGAGAGAGAGAGAGAGAGAGAGAGAGAGAGAGAGAGAGAGAGAGAGAGAGAGAGAGAGAGAGAGATTGGGGTGATTTTTGTAAGGGTGTAAATCATGTCTAAAAAATAATAAACAAATTGTAAGCAAGAATAATTACAATAGAGCAAAGAAAAAAGTCAAATAAACATTCGACTAGTATTCAGGTACAGAAATTGAATAATGAGTCTAAAATAACACTGTACAGTCTTCACTGTGTTAATAATTCAGTAAAATTACACTTCATTAGAGTTACAAATGTTGCTCATTTTTGTGCCCGAATGCTTTAAACCAGGAGTGTCCAAACTCAGTCCCTTAGGGCTGCTGTCCTGCAGATTTTGGCTCCAACTTGCCTTAATACACTGGTCAGGATGTTTCTAGATACCAAGTAAGAGTTTGATTAGCTAGCCCAGGTGTCTGATTGAGGTTTGAACAAAACTATGCAGGCGATTCAGGACTGAGTTTGGACACCCCTGCTTTAAACTTTCTTGAAATGCCTTTAAAACATATGCTAATGATAAAGTTTCAGTCTGTTATGGTTATACAGTACTCTGCAATGACTTGAGAAATCTCATGTATTCTCAATTGTTGTGCTGATTGAGAATAATCCCAATTTAGCATTGACTGTCCTGTGATGTGACTATTCCAGATACACACATTACAATATCGATGCTGAAATGATGTATTGTTTTGCCCTAAATCAAATATTCAGATATTCTGAATTGAATATGTATGAATCAAGTGGTTTCACTCAAGTCTTCTGAAGAAACATGATTACTTTAAATGATACACACACACACACACACACACACACACACACACTCTCCATTTTACCATCAGTGTGCAGCATCCACTTGGATGAGACAGTGATAGAGCCAGTGATAAAGCCAATTCGCTGGATGGGTAAGGGCAGTTTAAAGGAATTTGGCCGGGACACCGGGGTGACACCCCTACTCTATATGAGAAGTGCCATGGGATTTTTAATGACCACAGAGAGTCAGGACCTCGGTTTAGCGTCTGATCCGAAAGCCCACTGACAGTATAGTGTCCCCTTCACTTTACTGGGGCTTTAAGACTCACAAACTGCAGATTGATCACCCCCTGCTGGCATCACAAACACCACTTCCAACAGCAACCTAGTTTTAGCATGTGGTCTCCAATCCAGGTATTGACCAGGTTTAGCCCGGCTTAGCTTCAGTGAGTAACTGGAGTGACTGTGCTAATGCAGTGAAACAGCTGAGAAAATAGTAGTCATGAAATGGCTTCCACAGAATTCAGACCTCAAAATAATAGACGCAGTGTGGGATCACTTAGAAACAGAAAGTAAGAATAAACAGCCTAAAGCTAAACTTTATTAACTTTATTTCAGAAAAGCTCAGGACAGTCTGACCTTAACGGATTAGAACCAATATATGTATATACAACCACTTAGGCCAAATCTATACAGTGTTATGTAACATTCTTAACATTAGATCACCAAATTTGGTGGATGACTATGACTTATACACAGTACTGTGCTTTAATCAATGTCTATATGTGAATGGGAGCCTATGTTAAATTTGTTTATCTTGCAATATAAACCGAATGTGTCTTTTATGAAATCTTGGATTAAACCACTCACATAGATTTCTAGTCTTTGTAAATTAGTTTATGTAAGATTTGGTGAAATAGTGGAAAAAGAGAAATCTTTATTTTTATTGTGTATCGATAAGGTGTAATGCATTTTTTTGGGGGAGAACTAATATTGTAAATAACATTAGCATGTCCAAATAGTTGAGTATTGCAGGATAAAACCAATAATCTAATTATTTCCTTATAGCTGGAATGCAATGGTGGCCTACGGGGTCATCATGGTTACGATTGGCGCTTTCATCTTTGGCCAAACTACCACAAATGCCATCTACAAAGACATCATCAACAATCCCAACAGCCCGTAGGAGGGTTTGCTGTGACTGCATGAATAGTAGAGCTTGAACAAACAGAGGCAAAGTGAATATAGGGGAAAGAAGACAGTCAAAATCAGACCGCTGACCTCTATTACATGTTCAGGAGGCTGTTTTAAATTCTTCACATTGTAATGCGCAGCTGTTCCTCTGAAGTCTGTTCCTCCTGATGTAGTGGATCATCCACCAGCATGCAGCATCATCTCTCTGCTCTGGAACTATTGATCCTGTGAAGGAAATATTAATGACCTGACTGAATTGTGGACATTGTGTTAAATCCTACAATATTAGATCTTCCAAATATACTTTTTTTTTTGCAATTTGCCTGTTTTCTTTTTATATATTTTTAATAAACTGATTTGTGATTTTTATGAGAACCTTATATACTTGATGTTGTAAACGTGGTCAGTATTCATAATGTTTACCAATGAAATATTAATTTCTTTATGGACTTGCACTGCCAAACATGTAATTCTACAGTGTTTGTGTGTACATATAAGCCACTGTAGACCAGAAGTTAAATCTGTACTTCAGGATATTTTTGAAGAATGGTTTTATTTTAGTTTGATGCATGAATGTTGTTTCTGTTTAGCACATTTTCTAAACGAGCATTGTGTGAAATTTGTTTACACCCTGGGTGCACAGTCTCTAGTTTTAAAAGTTCACTGACACGCAATGAACACTAGACGATTGACTTGAAAACTTCAGGTTTAATTCAATTTCATTTATAAGGGAATGTAGGTACATGTACATTACTTGGGTGAAAATGAGCATCTCTAGAATATTTCTTTGAACCATACTCCAAACAGCTTAGGTGTATGTCACGTTGGTGTGCGGTAGTGACCTCATGTTTTTCTGTTCTTGAATGTTCGTTTAATAAGGGACTGTTCTCATATCCCATCTCATGGATTTAAAAATCAACACTAGATGCATGTTTCCACAATCATGTATTATTGTATGTTTCAGTGCAATCGAATGTTCCATATTATGTCAATTAAAATGTTTTTGTGCTCATTGTGATCCTTTTTTGATCAACTGCAAGATCAAGTTAAACTGTTAAGCATTCAATAAAAAATATTTAAGTGCATAAAAAATGTTAATAATTGGCCCCATATTAATTCATGATTTCTCTGCTATTTTTTAGAGACTGAATGATTACACATTTATTGTCAAACAACTGTTAACTCTTCTTAATAAACTCCTCCAGGTAAAGATATGTGCCTAAACAACGTCATTAATCAATGATCTAACATGTATTTTGGATTTTTGTAAATATTGTATAGTATTTACAACATAGCTTGCTACATGATGAATAATTAATCTGAAAATGTTTTATAATTTTGAAAGGGACTTAAATTTTAACTAAATTGGAACTAATTAATGCAAATATTTAGTAACATGTTAATTGGACATTCCATTATTGTCCAAACTTTTGTCCAAAAAAATTATTGTGCAAGTTTTTCCAATATGACATATGTTTAAAATTATTATTTTATATCTGCTTTTTTAAATAATGGGTATAGATAATAATAAAATTTTTATATTCAGAACAGGGTTAAGGGAGATATACTCAGATATATATAGATATATATTTTATGAGTTTTTTTTTGCTCAGAAGTAGCACTGCAGGACTTGGTTGTCCATTAGCAACAAGCAGTTTCCCGGCTTGCTCACCAGATGACACAAAAGACAAAAACTGTTTCTTGGAGTACCACAAAGTGAATTGGAAACATGACCTACTCAATGAGGATTTGAGATATTGGATTTGGATCCCATATTGTTTTTGTTGTTGTTCTGCCACAAAAAAAAAAGAAATTTGTTACATTGTTTGAAAAGATTTATATAAAAAGTTATTGTTCATATCATATTCAGACGTCAGTGTCTAATTACCACACTGAGCCAATGTTGCAAATCTGCAACATCACAGAACGCCTTGCATGTGAAGGTCTCTCTAAAAAAGTCAGGATTCTATTGTATACCCCATTTGATAATTTTCCCCAAATATCAGATTTTTCCTGTTTCTAAAACTTAATTTGAGCCTGAGAGGAATTATGTTAACTATATGAAGTAATTGAGTTGGCACTGTACCTCACAGCAGATCGCTGGTTTGAGTCACAGCAAGGCAGTTGGCATTTCTGTCTAAAGTTAGCATGTTCTCCCCGTGTTCGTTCGTGTGGGTTTCCTCTGGGTGGATTGAGTAAACAGCTGTAGTGTATGTGTGTGAATGTATGTTTTCCAGTGCTGCAGATGGAAGGGCAAACACTGCGTAAAACATGCTGGATAAGTTGGTGGTTCATTCCGCTGTGGCGACCCCTGATGAATAAAAGGACTAAGCTAAAGGAAAATGAATAACTGAATATAAAGTAATTTTGAAATTAGGCTTTTAACGTTAGATCCCATAAAAATATAAATTACTTTTAAAAGATATTTTAGCATAAAATGGCTAACTAGTATAGCAAAACACCCAGCAGTTCCAATTACTGAATAAGTTTACTATGCGATTGTTGAGGCTATAATCCGATGATTAATAATATCGAACATAAACAATTATTTACAAGGAGAAATCGCGCGCGAGAGATGGCGGAAGTGCTGACTCGGAGATCGGACTCCGGTTAATGTTTGGCTTGGCAGCATCATCTGACTACAGTAAAAGTCATATGACCATCAAGGAAGAGAAACTCAAACTCCACATCAGGGTCTCCAGACTCCTGTATCTATGTTCATGTCTAGCAGACTGTGAAAATGTTTTCTCTCCGTGTCTTCTGCAGTTTTGTGTTCTTGTCTCTGCATGCTGTGAGTGGCATGTATGATCCAGATGAGGTGCTGGATCTGCCGGGCATGTCTTTTAAACCCAGTTACCGTCAGTGGTCTGGATATCTGAAGGCCAGTTCTGGAAAGTTTTTGCATTACTGGTGAGTTTCTTGTGTCTTTTATGTGTGTGTTGTCAGCCCTAGGTTTTGCTTATGAGAATGTGTTTAATTCAGTCTAGATGATGGCGTTTCCGCATTCACTCCGAGTCAAAAACAACCATTAAAAACAATTTAAGCCACTTTAATATTTCAATTCGTAAGAAGTATTTTTTTTCATTCATCAATAAAAACTGTTTATAAGATTTCATGTTGTTATAAAAGAGCAGTTCATCCATAAATTTGCCGTGTTTGTTTTTTTTTATTTTGTCAGTAAAACATGAAGATTGTCCTCTGTGGTTCTTTGTATTCTGTAAAATACAAGTCAACAACAACTATAGCAGCTCTTTGAGAATAAAGTATAATTATTATATTAATATGTAGGCAAAACTAAATTAATGAGCCTTGAGTTTATTTTTGTTTTGCTTCCATATATTTTTGGCTGTTAAATAAATAGTAACCATTTATTTGCCCTATGTAAATGACCTAAGTACTTTTTATTTTTTTATATTAATTATGTTAGTGGTAGTGCATACTATTAATATTTCATAAGCCATGGTGTCAGATGGTAAGGTGAGATTAGAGTGCATGTACAATTGTAAAAATCTTTAGAGAATTGTTGTCTTGTTTGAGTGTCTTTGGTAATCAAATGAGTTTAAATGAAAGAGTATGTGTTTATTACAGGTTTGTGACGTCTCAGAGAGACCCAGTAAAGGATCCAGTGGTGTTGTGGCTGAACGGAGGGCCAGGCTGCAGCTCTTTGGATGGGTTTCTGTCAGAAAATGGCCCTTTTCATGTAGGTTTATACCTATGAACAGGAGTTTGTCATAAAAAAATTACAATGCATTTCTCTGCAACTGCTTTAATCTCAAAAATAAGAAGTCCTGAAGTCATTATCTTCAATAGCACAAAGCCATAAATGTTGTGATGATTTTTTTTTTGTACATCACTTTGTGGTCCTTAGGTCAGAGATAATGGAGCCACTCTTTACGAGAATGAGTTCAGCTGGAATAAAATTGCCAATGTTTTGTATATTGAGTCACCTGCTGGAGTGGGTTATTCCTACTCCGATGACCAAAAATATCAAACCAATGATAATGAGGTAAGTGTATAAACATCTACAGACATTCACACACCATGAACACAGTCTTCTTCACTTAATCCCACGATAAAATGTCCCATAGTCTATAAACAAAGTCCTGTTTTAGACATGCCGTAATAAATCTTTTCCTGTAGGTAGCAGATAACAATTACTTGGCTTTACAAAGCTTTTTTGCCAAGTTCCCAAATTTCACCCATAATGAGTTCTTCATTTTTGGTGAGAGTTATGGAGGCATCTATGCACCCACGCTCAGTCTGAGAGTGGCCACTGGAGGTCAGCTCAAAGTCAACTTTAAGGTACGCTCACATGTGCATGTTTAATTTTAACATTTCATTGGTTAATAAAATGATGCATACAATGTTGACTTTTACTTTCATTAGATACTTATTTTGAAGGAAAGGTTCAAAAAAAGATTGAATGTAATTATGTCTGTTTATTCTTTTATTGCTGTCATTATTTCTTTTCAGGGCTTTGCTGTGGGAAATGGCATTAGTAGCTTTGCACTAAATGACCAGTCACTGATCTACTTTGGTAACTACCATGGCCTGTTTGGAGAACAGTAAGCTATATCAGTTATTGATATTTGTGCCCACTCATGTACAGTTAAAGTCAGAATTATTAGCACTCCTGAATATTTTTCCCCAATTTCTTTTTAAGGAAAATAAGTTTTTTCAACACATTTTTAAACATAATAGTTTTAATAACTCATTTAAAATAATTGGTTTATTTTATCTTTGCCATGATGATAGTACATAATATTTGACTAGATATTTTTTCAAGACACTTCTATACAGCTTAAAGTGACATTTAAAGGCTTAATTGGGTGAATAGGCTATTTAGGCAAATCATTGCATGATGATTTGTTCTCTAGACGATCAAAAACGATCAGCTTTTATTCTAGCTGAAATAAAACAAATAAACTTTCTCCAGAAGAAAAAAATATTATCATACATACTGTAAAAATTCCTTCCACTGTTATACATCATTTGAGAAATATTTTAAAAAGAAAAAAAAAATTACAAGCTAATAATTTATCTTCAACTGTATATGAGTCTAAGATGAAAAGGGGTTTTAGGCTATGAAAAAAGTGATTTTAAAATAACTTAATTTTAGTAAAAATGATTTAAGTAAAAAAAAATTTTTAGTAAAAATTATTTAATTTTTTATAAACATTGAATAAATATTGAACAACACCAATATTTTGGAACACTACAGCATGGAACAATATTTTTGCAATTTGTTTTTACAGAAATAATTAGAAACATTAATGCAGATACTTTACTTGAATATGATATGCTATTGGATTAAATAAAACTTGAGAGAATTGTATTTAATGCAAACACTAAAATGTGTATGACCCTATATAGTAACGCCAACATTGAATATACTTATAAATATTTAATAAATATGTTATTTTTTCTTCAGGCTCTGGAAGGATCTAAATGACAACTGCTGTGAAAATGGAGTCTGCAACTTCTACAACAATTCCAAAAAGTCCTGCGCTGATGTGGTAAGCTGAACACATCCGTATGCTCCTTATTGCTGTGCAACTGTACAAACAGTTGTTTAAAGTCACTTGTATTTTTCAGGTATTGCATGCCTTTAATATAATCTATAACTCTGGGCTGAATGTGTATGCGCTGTACCTTGACTGTGCTGGTGGAGTCCAATCTCAGAGAGCAATGACGCACCTTTTCAGAAACTTCAGGAAGCATTGGGAAACCAATCAGGTGAGGCCTGTTCATACTCATGCAGCCCTCGAACATTCCCCCCCCCCCATATGTTCATTGAATTTGTTTCCTTTTTTCAGTCAACTAACAATGCAGCTTACAGAACTGCAAAATCCACCCCATTCTTATACATATTCATATTGAATATAAAAAAATACTTTCTTAGTGTGCTTCACTCAGGTGAGTGAGTAGGCTTGACAAACCACCTGTAGGATGCTCTCATCTCCACATACACTATGCACTATACACTTTATTAACACTTCATGTTTCTGAAAGCATCCTTCAATTCTTAGTGTGTGCTCCGCAGTGAGCCTGACAAACCACCTGTAGAACACACTTTTTCTTCTCCATGTTCTTGTAGAACTTATCACTTATCAGAGCCTTATCATAGCATTTATATACTGCTACTCTCAGATGATATGAAGGACATCTTTTTTTCTCACTTGTAAGTTGATTTGGAAAAACTGCCTGCTAAATGAGTAAATGCAAGTGTAAATGAATCGACTAATAAAAAAAATAATTATTATAATTATTATTGTTATTATTACTGTGTGTGTGTGTGTGTGTGTGTAGTCTAAGTCAGAATTATCAGCTCCCTTTTAAATTTTGTTCCCTTTTTTTAATATTTCCCAAATGATGTTTAACAGAGCAAGGAAATTTTCACAGTATGTCTGATTAATATTTTTTTCTTCTGGAGAGAGTCTTATTTGTTTTATTTCAACTAGAATAAAAGCAGTTTTTAATAAAAAAAAAAAAAATTCAAGGTCAAAATTATTACCCCCTTTAAGCTCAATTTTTTTTTTAACAAACCATCATTATACAATAACTTGCCTAATTACCCTAACCTGCCTAGTTAAGCCTTTAAATGTCTGTAAAGCTGTAAAGAAGTATCCTGAAAAATATAGTGTCAAATATCCCTTACTGTTATCATGGCTAAGATAAAATAAATCAGTTATTAGAAATGAGTTATTAAAACTATTATGTTTAGAAATGTGTTGGAAAAAAATATCTATTAGGTACAGTCAATATTTTTGTTTTACATGTTTATATATGGTTTCAAAAGGTGGTCAAAGTCCTTCTGCTTGCCATTAAGGATATAAAACACTCTCTCCAGTTTGCTACAATTCAATATCTCGTTTTTTCTTAATTCTAAAGGCCTGTTTACACCAAGCACAATAACTATAAAGATAAGGATAAAGATGAGTTCTAAAAATCTTTCACAGTGTTAAAGAATAGCATAGTTCACACCACAACTACAGCGATACAGATAAAGAGGAACGATGCTGTTGTGATTACTTTTTTGTCACAATTTTTCCTACCTGATGAATGATAAAACAGTGACAAACATTCAGAATCCATTGAAAATTAAAGGGCTTGTGCAGTTTTAAGATACAGAAAATGCTGTCAAGAAGCACATTGCTTGATGTTAACTCCTCTTTTAAAAGATTTTTTATACCATGGGAAATAATGATAAAAAAATACGTGAAAGTTATGAAATTCATGCTGGCAAATTAAAGTATAAAGTACTGCATGAAGTGCTAGTGTCAGTGTCTTTGTGTTGCCTTCTTTAAAAATGCTGCGGAACCGACTGATTAAATTGATTACATGTAACAAGCTCATTAGTTTGTTCAGAAGCAGTAGCAGCACACTGAGGACATCTGCTGATCACAAGGGATAATGCACAATTAAAAGCAGAATCTAAAAAAAACGGATCATTATCACTGTGGACACAAATATATTTCTTTATATGTCTATTTATTGTTATCCTGCTTGGTGAAACACGACAAGTATTGAACACTTCACCATTTTTCTCAGAAAACATATTTCTAAAGGTCCTATTAACTTGAAATTTTCACCGGATGTTGGTAAAAACCAAAGAAAACCATATATGCTAAGAAAACAAATCTAATTAGTTTACAAATGAAGTCATGTGCAATAAAATGAAATGATGCAGGGAAAAAGTATTGAGCACATGAAGAAAGAGAGGTGTAGAAAGACCAGACAGCAGCTGAAATCTCTCAGTAGTTCTTCAGCAACCCTTTGTGCTTCCTCAATGTAAATGAATATCAGCTGCTTCAGTCCAACATCTACATTAGCAGGAGGGTGAAGATGAAACCAGGGTGGACATTTCAGCAAGACAATGATCCAAAATACAGCCAAGGAAACTCTCAGATGCTTTCAGAGAAAGAAAATCAAGCTGTAGAATGGCTCAGGCATTCACCTGACTTGAATCCAATAGAAAATACAGAATAAAGATCAGATTTGAGAGACGAGACCCACAGAACCCTCAAGATTTTTCAGTCCATTGAAGTCTGTGGAAAAAAACACACCTGAGCAATGCCTGTAATTACATACCCCACACGAGAGGTGTCTTCAAGCTGCCATCACCAAAAAAGCCTTTTATATAAAGTATTAAATACATTTCAATAGTTCAGTGCTTCCTCCTTGTGTCATTTCATTGTTATTACACAGAACTCAATATTCAGTTTCTCTGTTTGTCTTATTTTTATGTTTGTATTGTTTGTTTATTTTATCAATATATTGTTCAATTCCATATTAACAGCTCCTTTAGAAAATATTATTCCCTGGAAAAAACATGACATGTTCAATACTTATTTTCCACACTGTATATGCCTCTGCGGCTTTCCAACATAAACCAAATGAAAGCAACCGGTGACATGTGCTTTTTTGTTTGCTCAGATAGTAGACAGTACCCCAAGTGTTCAAGGAGTGCCTCCGTGCATCAACAGTACCGCTCAGCTGAACTGGCTTAACCGAGGAGATGTGAGGAAAGCGCTGCACATTCCTGATGTACTTCCGGCATGGGACATCTGCAGGTAAACCAAAACCTCACTTAATTTCAGTGTGTGCGTCTGAATGTCTACATGGAGTGTTCTCTCTCTTTTTTTTATTCAGTGATGTTGTGGGAAACCAGTATCACACCATTTACGAAACCATGAAGGACATTTATGTGAAGCTGCTGGCTGTCGGTCTGAGAGCTTTGGTCTATAATGGAGACACAGATATGGCTTGTAACTTTCTTGGAGATCAGTGGTTCGTGGAGCAGCTTGGACAGAAGGTGATCTCAGTTGTTATCTGAGATGCGATGCTCTGGAGAGTTTATTACACTTTCTAAGTTTAATGTTGGGTTTTTCTTTCCTCTTTAAGGCAAGCACACAATACCAGCCCTGGATTTATGATAAGCAGATTGCTGGGTTCTACCAGCAGTTTGGGAACATCACTTTTCTCACAGTCAAGGTAGGTTTCAGAAATGCTGATGGAGAACACGTGGTCAGATTTATTTATTTAAATATTTAATTTTTCAAGATGTTTCTTCAGTTTTGTCTTTTTGTTTTCCGGTTGCAATTGTAATGGTGATCTATTCTTTCAAGTTCTCCGCCATTTCTATAGAGACTCAGCACAAAGGATTTGATGTGTAAATCCACAAACTTGCAATGTAGCAGATTACTATTCCTTTGTCGGGAAACAACAAAAATCAAAAAACAAACTTGAGAACTATTTACACTTTTTTCAAGCTTTAATTTAAATATGGTGTCGAATAGTGGTCAAAAGACTGTCTACCATCAAGCCCCTTCCTACTTTATCTTTTTTCCCGGTTGCTTACACATATATATGATGTATGACATTAGTTAACATATGTAATGTCATGTACGTAATATAATAACACAAAATATGCTAAATACGTGCTGTATCAAATAACTAAATTTCTAAATACAAATAATAGAATAATATAGAAAAATATTACACGTTTCTGAGTGCTCTTTATGGCTCTAACAGTAATTTTATATTATTTGTAATTTTAAGTACTTAATTTGTAATTATAATACTTAATAAGTAAATTTAAGCACTTATTTTGTTTCATTTAAAATTTAGAGGGGGGTGTCACAGTTGCACAGTGGGTAGCACGATTGCCTTATAGCAAGAATGTCACTGGTGTGCTCCGGTTTCCCCCACATTCCAAAGACATGGGCTATAGGTGAATTGAATATGCTAAATTGTCTGAAGTGTATGAGTGTGTATGGATGTTTCACAGTGATGGGTTGCAGCTGGAAGGGCATCCACTGCGTAAAACATGTGTTGGATAAGTTGGTGGTTCATTCTGCTGTGGTGACCCCAGATTAATAAAGGGACTACGCTGAAAAGAAAATGAATCAATGAATAAAATGTATAGGCACTAAAGAAGTAAGGTTGTTCTTAATATTATTATTATTATTATTATTAGATATTGTTATTATTTATTTGGATCAGTTGGACAATTAGGCTAAACAGCGAAAGCACCCAACTGTTATTGTCATTATATACCTAAAAGGTTGCTGAATTCTCATGACCATTAAGTTCAGATGGTTGAGGTCAAAATATTTGTTTTATTTTTTTTCCTAACACAATTTCAACAAGTAAATCAAGCACAAAACTTCAAAACCTTTACAAACACTGTTCATTTAAACTTCATTAGAAAAATCATTAAAAATGTATCACAGTTTCCACAAAAATAGTGATATCATAGTGATATCTTAATGAACTAGGATCCTGTGATTTCTGAGTAAACTTGCTAAAATTTTAGATTGTCCATCACAGCGATAATACATATTTTAAAATGTTAAAGTACAATCACGTTTTAAAATTGGATTCTTATGTCACAATATTACTGTTTATTGCTAGCTTTGCAGGTGTTCTTTAAAAAACATATGTAAAACATAATATATCTACAGTGATATTTACTAAATCTTTTGTTGTAACAGGGCGCAGGTCACATGGTTCCTCAATGGGCTCCGGGTCCATCTCTCCAGATGCTCCAGAGATTCCTGTCTAACAAGCCTTACTGAACTTCCTGCAGATCATTTCCTGTTGCACCTGATTTTAAGAAGTAATGCAACATAGATTTGAAGTTTGTTAAGAAAAACTTTGACATGAATGAATCTTTACGACACATTACTCAGGGACTGTTGGGTGTAAATTTGTTTACATTATTTTTTGGTTAATTGTTTTTTTTTGTTTTTTTTACTGCATTTTATTTGGACAATAGGGATGGCTTTCATATTCATGTTGATCTAAGCACATTTTGTTCTTAAAATGTTTCATTCATTTTCCTTCGGCTTAGTCCCTTTATTCATCAGGGGTCGCGACAGAGGAATGAACCGCCAACTTTTCCAGCATATATTTTACACAGCTTATGCCCTTCCAGCTGCAACCCAGTACTGGTAAACATCCATTCACTCACATTCATGCACATACACTACGGACAATTTAGTTCATCAGTTCACCTATAGTTCATGTCTTTGGAATGTGGGGGAAACTGGAGCACCCGGAGGAATCCCATGCCAACACGTAGAGAACATGCAAACTCCACACAGAAATGCCAACTGACCCTGCCGAGGCTGGAACCAGCAACTTTCTTGCTGTGAGGTGTCAGTGCTTAACGACTGAGCCAACGTGCTGCCCTAAAATGTTTCAGACATGCAGTTTAAAGAGTCAAATAATGCAAATCATAGATCATTATGAGGCAGTTTTGATGTGGATCATTCGTTCTTTATTTCCCTCACAAATGTCTTTAAATCACTGGACAATGCTTTGAGATCTGTTAAATTAATAATGCTCTTTTGTATGTTGTGAAATAAAGTACTGAGGAGAAATGAATATTTTAGTCTTCGTTCTGAGTCTGTCCTTAAGAAATACAGCATTGAAACCAAAAATGTCAGGCAAAGATCGCCTAGTTGACCGTTCAAGGAACAGTCTTGTGTATTTGCAATATATACAACATGGCAAATGTCCTTAAAGAAGCAACGTTTTAACAGGAAAATAAATGTTTTTTTTTAATCATGTATTAACATTGAAAAAAAATCTCATTTTAATTATCTTGTTTATTTGTTTGTTTTGTCTTTTTTATTGAATTTTGTTTAAAACAATGAATTGAACAGCCTCTGTTGCTGACATGGCAATAAGTAAAAAGATATAATTACATTATACTTTAGAGAAGTGGCATGAGGGAAAATAAACCGAATAAGGACAATTCTCTGTTGAAAGACTAAAATCAAGAAATGGAGATAACATGTATATAAAGGAAAATACATGCAATTTCAGTTATCAAAGTGGTGTTGAAAATGAAACCAATGGACTGAAACGAAAGTAATGTTTAAAATGTACAGTAGGTGGCGGTCTCTGGTCGCTTCAGTATCCACAAAGACAAACGAAGGAGAACAGGCATAAAAGTGTGGTCTCTCACGCGGGCGGGCCTCAGTCGATCCATCTTCAAAACGCGGATGTGCTGAAATGAGGTAAATCATTTTTGTTCGTTTAGTCAAGGAATAGACTCAGAGCATGTTGTTTTACTAAGCTATATACTGTACGATACTAATGTAAGGAATTTTAACTCTCGTGTCAAACTGCATCGTGTTTAAGTTCCGTGTCTGTGTGACTGGGAGCTACGCTACGGTGCAACAGTATATCTCTTTATCATTTTGGGCTTTATCTTACTGCTAGTTGAGCCCTTCTGAAGAGAGAAACACTATATACAATGTTGTGAATATGATCTGGAAATATAAGCTTCTTTGTTGGCCAAATATCAAACTAATGCGATGTTTCTTCATGTGTTTAACAGCGGCTGGAAGATCACACCAGAAGAAGAGGAACCTTAAGCTACATTAACTTGCTGCTTTTTTGCTGTATGTTGTGTTTGTTTATTCATAGGGATAAGTTAAAACATTCACTTAACTTTGTAGTCAAACAATAAATTATGATCTGTCTAGTATACAATTTCATAACTGTGGTTTCAATGCTGTGAAAAAAATAAAATGGCGAAAATGCACTCGGAGTCTTATGATTGCACACACAGTATAACAGTTCGTAATTGATAAATGCTGAATGGGTGTCAGTTTATAATGACTGCACACCAACCATTTATTAAGACTATAAATAATTTATAAATGAAGCATTAACTCTACATCAACAGAACCTGTTCTTGATTTATGAGTACAAACAATGTGCTTGATGGTGTCTACATGCTGTGTAAATGATTCATTCATTAATAAATCAATTACTGCATTATTTTCAAACCAGTTATTTAAGAGTATTTGGTTTTAAGATAATTCTGAATAAGATAATGATTAATAATTGTATAAAATCAACATAAATCTTTTTAAGGTTTATAGTAATAGTTACTTTGTATGATAATAATTGCTTTGTTTATATTCTAAACATTAAGTAAAATAAGGACAACAGTGTGACTCGGAACAAAATGCATCAGTAAATATGTCTTATCAAATCTGCAATCTAATCTAGAAGTAAAATTGCTGTTCAGTTTAAACTGCTGAATAGCACAAGTGTCAAAATACAACACAATTTGATTAAAAGCAGTATAATTTAAGATGATACAACAGGTCCATGATTTAAAGCAGATTAACTAAACAGTAATTTTATATTTTAGACTACGTTTCATTTGATGCAGTTTCATATTTGTAGGTTAAAATTAATATTGTTTTTGGTTAATTTGCATTTTCTGCTTTGAATATAACTTATACAATTGTAATTTATAACAAGTTTGCAAATCATAAAGAGTCCTCACCGCATGAGCTCACAAAACTTGTGTTAATAAAGCATATTACCATACAAATGAACTATTAGGTTCTATATGCCTGAAAAATAAGAATAAATCTTCGTTCAAATAGTTTATTAATTGTTTTGTCCATTCGGAATGATCTTAAAACCACCGATTATTCTTAAGTAACCGTTTTGTAAATAACGCAACACTTACTGTAGTGGTGTGTGTTAATTCTTGTAAGCTATCCATTAGCTAATGCCTAATTATTCATCATGTGCAGTTTTTATAAAGCATTATTAATGAAGGAAATAAAGCTATTAACACATTTAAATGAATACCAAAAATAAATGCTCTTAATTTAAATACTCTTAATGTTTTTTTTTTTCTTTACTAGAACTTTTTAGTACATTGTTTGTAAAAAAGCAATGGTTACGTGCATATTGATGAGTCAAAAATGTCTAAACAGGCAAAACAAAAATAATACCTGTGGCTCTCACTACATGTAGTCTTACGTGAAACAACTGGTATTTACAGCATTATTCATTTGAGTCTACAACCTTGACAAACACAGTTGAGAATGTTCATAAACATCCAAATAACAAGCTTCCTGTCAAAGACCTTAATAATATATATTAATTAAATAACCCTTGTGCACTGTTCAAATTTACTAGCTTTTTGTTATGTTCGGCATGAAAACATTCACTGAATGAAACTGCTGTAAAAATGCATCAGATTAATAATTTTTTCAAGATTGTTTTTTCATAAATCTGATAATCAACCTCAGTCCTGAGCAAAACAATTAAATAGCTTAGAAAATGACATGAACTCTTTAATTCACAAATTAATAGATTATGTCACTGATTTGCCTTAAAAAACACGTATTTTCAATATAAAAAGTAGTTGTGAACTGAATTTAATTTTATCTTTTTAACATTTTATCAGTCTTGGACTATCTTTATATTTATATTATCAGAAACTAATGGAAACGAACAAATCCCACCTGCCACACGGATTATTTTTTATGCAAAAAGTGAGAATAAACAATCACAGTACATAAGGAAAGTTAAAAAAAAACATTTTAAAATTAAAAAGAAGGGATTAATCACACATTAAACAAAAATATTATATAATTAACCAATTTCAGTTGTTTTTAAAGCCTTTTTTGTAAAAAAGTTAAAAATAGTTTTAAAGTAATACTGCATTTTAGTAAGCAAACTGAAAAACCGGTTTTTGGTTTGAAAATTTACATTTATGTACAGTCGAAGTCAGAATTATTAGCCCTCTTGAATTATTAGTCCCTCAATTTCTGTTTAACAGGTTTTTTTCAGCATATTTCTAATAACTGATTTATTTCATCTTTGCCATGATGACAGTAAATAATATTTGACTAGAAAATTTGCAAGACACTTTTATACAGCATAAAGTGATATTTAAAGGCTTAACTAGGTTAATTAGGTTAACTAGGCAGGTTAGGATAATTAGGCAAGTTCTTGTATAATGATAGTTTGTTCTGTAGATATTGAAAAAACATTTTGCTTAAAGGGGTTACTATTTTTTACCTTAAAATAGTGTTTAAAAAAATGTAAAAAAATAAATAAAAATTATTTTAGCTGAAATAAAACAAATAAGACTTTCTCCAGAAGAAAAAATATTATCAGACATACTGTGAAAAATTTCCTTGCTCAGTTAAACATCATTTGGTATATGTATATATATATATATATATATATATATATATATATATATATATATATATATATATATATATATATATATATATATATATATATATATATATATATATATAATATTTAATAATAGGCTAATAATTCTGACTTAAACTGTATACAATTTTGTTAAGATAATGTTAATGCATTGGAGTGACGTCCACTCCCTCTTCACCTGATTGGCAAGAGGAGCAACTGTGAATCTCGTTAAGTGGACCACCTGTGATTTAAATGAAACTGGCATGGCATCTTTTAAAAACATAAGCGCAGAATGTGGGAGCAAGAGTGAAGAGGAAAATACCATGAGCACGCAAAACATTCAAATATGAGCAGAGCAACAGAATTGGTCTAAACACGTTTTCATTTCGCTCATTATCTTTTGGTACCCGATTCTTTAGCTGGGAATTTGATCCTATAAACCAGGTAAGCAAACTATTAATTCATGCTCTCTTTTACAGTTTCATATATCCGTTATTGTTTTGTCTTGTTTGAAATGCCAGCTTTTTTTGTGCTTTGAATAATGTCTTAGGGAATTTGCATGTAAGCATGTTATTAATTATCTTCAAATGATCTGAATTCCCCATCCTTCTAGTCTGCAGCTTTTCTGCCTGTTTCTGTCTGATACCAGTAGGACATTTTTCCAGAAATTAGTCACTTTTTACTTTTGAAATGGAACCCATGACATCAAGGTATCCTTTTCTTAATGCTAAACTTTGATACACTTATGATTTAAAGATTACAATGTGGCTGATTATTCGTGTCCCTGGACCTCATAGTCCATTTAGATGATGCGTGCACCCGAAAGCCAAATAAATATACTTTACATTGATGTGTTTTTTTAGGATAGGGTAATATTTGTCTTAGGGTTCCACCAACAAAATTTAAACACATTTAATTACATTTAAAATTGTCTAAAGTGCTTAGCGAAAAATTGAGTTTCAATCGAAAATTGAGTTTCGATATATTTACTGTAGGACATTTACTATATGTTTATGAAACATCTTTCATTTGTGCTTTCATTTCATAACTGCAATATGGTTTTGTCGTCTTGCTTTATAGTTACCATTTAATTTTATTAGTGCATCTTACAAAGGTCTTAAAGGAACACTTCACCTTATTTTTTATTTTCAAGCTAAACAGTTGACATCTAATCAGACAAATTTCTGTTCTGGCTGACTATTAGATTAGCTTAGCATAAATCAAAGATTCTAGAACTGGGGTGCCCAAACTCAGTCCTGGAGGGCTGGTGTCCTGCAAAGTTTAGTTCCAACCGCAATTAGACACACCTGGGCTAGCTAATCAAGCTCTTTTTAGTTTTTCCAGAAACTTTCTGTGCAGGTGTGTTGAAGCAAGTAGGAGCTAAAATCTGCAGGATCGAAGGCCCTTTAGGACCGAGTTTGGAAACGCCTGCTCTAGAATAAACAAGACGTGTCACTCATATAGTTTTGAATGGAGGAAAAGTGTAATGGTCAATATGGCAAATGAAGCCACGCCTTCTAGTACAACAGCCATTTAGCAATCGCTGTAGACTGAAGATTTTGTGTAATTTGAATGTTTACAAATGAAAACTTATGAGATAGTCGCTGTTCATTTTTATAGGTGGTTCCTAACATGAAATGTAGTTGTAGGTTTGGTGAACAGTTTTGGAGAATTTGATGTTTCTTCATTCAAACAGAATGCCCGAGAGGCAATTCAAAGATGGCCACCGATTGAAAGGATTTGCCTTAAAGCATAGGTCTCAAACTGTATTCCTGGAGTGCCGCAGCTCTGCACAGTTTTGCTCTAACTCTAATCAAACGCAGCTGATCCAACTATTTAAGGTGTTCAAGATGCCTGCTGCGGTCACACAAGAGTTCGGCTGCGTCGGAAACCGCATACTTCCATACTATATAGTACACCAAAATCAGTATGCGAGCCGAGTAGTATGTCCAAATACATAGAATTCGAAAATCAGTATACGGAAAGTACCCGGATGACTTACTACTTCCGGCGAAATTATGGAGTGCGCATCTCATGCAAGCTGCGCTATCCCATGATGCCCCGCGAGCGAATTCATGAATGGGAGTGAAACGACGCAAATTACGCAGGTAGGTCGCGTGACCATGACAAAATGGCGGATGTAGTATGTCCGAATTCCATTCATACTTTCACATTCATACTGTATAGAACGTACTTTTCTAACAGCAGAGTAGTACGTTTAAATTCAAATACAGTACCTACTGAGTAGTAGGCGGTTTCGGACGCAGCCTTCGTGTGTACGGAGTTCTGTTGTAGATGCTGCAAAAAGGGGCAGGACTAAACAATGATTAGACATTAAAAAAAGTGAGTGATTGGTCCATGTTTGAAATTTCTGTCCAGAGATGTTTTGATCTTCGATTGGTCTCATGCAATCATGTGATGCGATTTTGCAGGTCAGAGTTCACCAAGCTTGAACTTTGCAACACAGCGAACTACAAAACTTGTCGCACTAGCTTGCGTTTCTGGTCTGACACATTCGCGTGCGTATGGATGGAAGTCTATGGTGAGAAAAAAGCAGTGTGA